CCCGATGTGGGGCTTGATCCCAGGACCCTGGGATCATGACCTGAGCCGAAGGCAGTCGCTCAACCAACTGAGCCACCCAGGCGCCCCAGTCATGGATCTCTTTAATGTCTAAGAACAGTTCTTGATTCCAAAAAAAAAAAACACATTCTGATAAACTTTTCATCTATGTTGGTTTAGAATAATTGAGGACTGCTTCTCATGGTTCAGACTTTCTATACATGGATGCCTTTGGTCTTGGACTTGTCTGGATGCCTAGACATTGACTCTTAGAGAACCGGCTAGGGCTGAATGGTCTTTTAGGATGGCCAGCGCAGTGCAGCCAGAAGCTGTTGGCAGCATCAGAAAATTCCCTCAGGATCCATTATTTCTGGAATGTCATCTACCTCCTGACTACCAGAACAAATAACTCTATAGTCTTCATATAAAACGTGGAATGGGGAAAGGGAAATTTCTGCATGAGATAATGCAAATTTGTTCCTTAGTTTTGTTATTGAATGCCCATTGGGCAGACAAGATAGGGAATTAGAGGAAAAGACAGGCCTTCTCTAACATTTGGGAGTCCTATCAAATGGCTTGTTTGATAATGACCAATGATGATTATGATTTCCAATGTTAGGAATCATACATTAAAAAATATTTTCTTACATATCCCTCCCTTGCTTATTTGAAAATAGTTAGCTATGGACATAGCATTGCCATGCTAAAAGGAAAATGTTCTCCTTGTAGCAAGTTTGCTTTAGAAATGGGGATGGATAGATAGCACATTTGACGGTTTGGGACAGAGTGATGTGGAAAACAGCTTTGAATGTGAACTCTGTATTTGCAGACACATGCTCAGTTCTGTCAGATAGCAGTGTGAATGAAAGAGGATTAGGATCTGAGTGGTCGTCTTTTACATTAGAGGCATGCTGGCATCATGTCAAAGCTCTCTGGATTTTAACAATATTAATAATGCAGAGGCTTCAACAGCCTCCTCTTCTTGTATGGATTCCTCTCTCTCTCTTCACCCACCCCATGCTCCAGGGTTGGGAGATAATTTCTCTTAAGGATGCTCTACATTTAGGACATTGTCTCAGAACAGACACCATTTTTCTGTTATGGCTCCACTCTAGAATTTTCTCTTCTCATATTAAAAAAAAAAAAAAAGGTATGTCTAAATAGTTATTAATACAAATTGTGCCATTATTGGTTTGTGAAAAAGGACCTCCCCCGGAGAGCACTGTGGCTCATACAAGGTGAATTCCTTTTGGCTGGCTGCTTTGTAATGATTTACATTTAGATTGTTGCTTGTTGCTGTTGTAGGGGAAGGGGCCCTGTCTGTGGCTGCCTCAGTCATCACACCGATTGGGTTTGGACAGCTTCGCTCAGCAGAGCTGGGAAATAGGCTGAACTTGCTTTCAATTGTTTTCATCAAAGGCCTTGTTTAGTTGGTTTGTATTGGGGGAAAATGTCATGTAGGACTGGAAGAACTAAATGAGATGAAAAATGAAGTTTACAATTGCTAAGAATGGTGCATGCCTTCCATAAGTCAGTGCACAGTGTACTGGGCTGAGGGGGGCGGGGCAGTGGGTGCTCCCTGGTGACATGCAGTGTCTTCAAGGGGGTGGGGGGTGGCGGCGCTGGAGAAGGAGGTACACAGCCTCCACTGAAATACATCCAACAGTCTGTTGCTTCTCACTAGGGCCACCTTAAATGGAAAATCAGAACTGCCTAGGACAAGATTCATTCATCTAAGAAATATTTATTAAGTTGTAGCCATTGTAGGCAGATTATGAACAAAGCAGGTGAAACTTCCTGCCCTACAGGATTTTACATCCTCCATGAGGATAATGTTAAAAGGTCCAGTGCTGTGGAGGGATAAAAGGCAGGAGTTGGGAGGACGGGAAGTGCCAGGGAAGGGGAGTAAGAGTGGTCTAGGTAGGGTGAGCAGAGACAAAGATGTTGAAAATGTGACTTTAAAAGACTTAAAAGAGGTGAGTTCCATGGAGACCTGGGTAAAGAGTTCTAGATAACTGGAAGAGAAGGTGCAAAGGTCCTGAGGTAGGAGACAGGAGGCTAGTGTGGATGGGGTAAAGGGAGAGAGCAGCAGCAGATGAGGTGAGAGAGCAGAGAGGAAGGCAAATCATGCAGGTCCTGTGAGTGCTGTAGTAAGTATTTGAACTTTTACTCTGGAAAAGAGAGCTATTAAAGGGTTTTGAACAGGGAAGTGAAGTGATTCTAACCTGATTTTTAACCAGGATCACTTGGCTATGGAGAACAAGGACTGTAGGAACAAGGGGGTGGGCAGGGAGACCAGTTAAAAGGCTATTATCCTAGGCTGGATGTGAGATGGTGATAGCTTGGACCAGGATGGAGATGGTGGAGGGGTGAGAAGCGGTGGGATCTGGATCTGTTTTGAAGAAAATAATTTAGGAGACTCCCTTCCAGAGAGGGGTTAGCACAGAGCCCTTTGGAACCCTGGCAAGAGGTGCATCTTCAGTATGCCTTAGTGGCAGCAAGTCCAAGAATAGAGTCCCCAGGTGGTCTTCTTTTTTCTTTTTCCTGAAGGCAAGAGTTATTTATAGCCTGCCTATGTCAGGAACTTTATTGCGTTTTAGTTACTTTATTAAGGTTCTACAAAACCCAGGTTGTCACACACTACACCTCCGTCTACCTGCCAGTTTGGCAGCAGCGTTAGGGGTGGGGTGCCGAGCGTGGCTTCTGTAGCACGCCGCGATGGAGGCCACGGGGTCGCTGGCTTGTGAATAAGCAAGAATGCTCCTTCGCTCTGAATAAAGTCGAAAGGATTTTCAACAGCAGAACCTGACTCGTACGTGTTTTGTTACATTTAGGAGTAGAAACCGGAGTATTTTTACTAGAAAAGGTTATGGATCACCCATCAAACACTGCATTGGGTACAGAATTGTGCTAAGCATGGCAATAAAAAGAAATATTAGACCTAATCCCTTTTCTGAAGAATTATAGTCTACTTGAGGACAAGCAGATATCTAAGAAGCAGTAAATAACCAGTGCAGGCAGTAAGCAGCTAGGGCCCAAAGAAGGGGTACACACAAAGGGAGGATCCCAGTTCCAGCTTGAATGGTCTCCTCAAAGAAACAGCTGTTTTGAAAAACAACAACATAGGACTGGTTTTTGTTGAGTCACCACACCCTCCTCTCCTAGCTCAGGCCTCACTTGTTAGAAGTCTGCCCTGAAGATACGTGCTTGTCACAGTTTGTGGGGTGAAAACCGGGCCGGGCAGGACTGGGGAGGAGGGCATAGAGTGGCCCGCGGTACATTCATTAGCTGCACTCGCCAGGCCAGGCGCCAACCCTCACCCCCAAATGTGTTATTTTGGTCAGATTCACAGTCTGAGAATGAGGCTTCGCCAGTGAAACGGGCACGACTACTGGAGAATACCGAACGACCTGAGGAAACCAGCCGATCTAAACAGAAGAGTCGACGTCGGTGCTTCCAGTGCCAAACCAAACTGGAGCTGGTGCAGCAGGAACTGGGATCATGCCGCTGCGGTAAGCATCGCCCCCAGGGGCGTGACGGAGATTGTGTCCTTGACACCCGGGTATAGCTTTGGAAATTACTGCTAAGAGGCTGAAGTCCTTCATTCTTCCCCTGAGTGCCTCCCTGCAAGCTATGGGTTTGGAGCTTATGAAAGCAGGAGTAGAGGAGTCTTCCTTCTAAACGCCCTTTATCTCCTCTCATGCTTACCAAAAAAAAGGGGGGGGGGCAAAAACATCCCCACTTCTCTTACACTTGTTTCTTTAGAGTTGCATTGTCACTGCTTACTCCTTTCAGATTCTCCCCACTGGGTATTACTCTGGTTCCTACTCACTGATGACTTACTTAGAAATTAACCAAACCAGTGAAATTCTGAGATATGTACCATAAAATTCAGATATTAAATTAATTTTGAATGAGCATCTTACTATGTATAATAAATGGAAACTCTTTCTCCCCGATACCCCTTTTAAATTAAAGTTTGATTGGAAAATTTTCTTCAAACCATAATTCATTGTTGTTTAACCCCTTGAAATAGCTTTCAAGTTTAAAGTAACACTTCCTTCTGTATCATCCAGTGTAATACTGGCTTTCACAATTGCTGCCCAGGGATGTATTTTTCAAAACTTTATGCCTAACCACAGCGGAACAAAACTTAGTCCAATTCTTTCTCTCCCTTTGACCACATACATCATGTCACATAGAAGCAAAATTGTGTAGCCGCATTATTTAGGCTGACTTACAGTTTTCCTGTTTTTATTTCCTGATTTAAAGCTTAGTATTATAGGGTGCCTGGGTGGCTCAGTCGTTAAGTGTCTGCCTTCGGCTCAGGTCATGATCCTCAGGGTCCTGGGATCGAGCCCCGCATCGGGCTCCCTGCTCAGCGGGAAGCCTGCTTCTCCCTCTCCCACTCCCCCTGCTTGTGTTCCCTTTGTCACTGTGTCTGTCTCTGTCAAATAAAATCTTAAAAAAAAAAAAAAAAAAAGCTTAGTATTATAAAATAGTTCTGTGAGACAGAGCTGTCATCAGGCAGACCTGGAGGCCTGGCTCTCGCCTCTGAGAATCCTATGTCCTTTGTCCTTAGGGGTGAGCTTTAGAAGCCTCCTTTTCCCCCTGGGACAGCCATCGATACCCTACAGGTACTGATGCTGACAGGCAGGACTAAATGGTTCTCTCAGCAGTTGGAAAATTACAGTTACTCAAAGTCCCTCATCTCCTAAAGAGGCAGCCATTGCTTCTCTCATACCTCAGTTATTTACCCTCTTAGAAATGAGCAGGAAAGGAGGATGTACCGGCTTCTCATGGAAACGAAGTTGGAACTTTTGTTCCTGTCAAGACCAGAAATCTGTTTGTTGCACACTCGGGTGTGTGGTACTCAACAAGCTTGGAAGTGTATATTCAGCTGCAGAAACAAGACAGCAGCATGGGGAGTCCAGGTGTCACTGGACCAGTTTTTATTTTTTTAGCTTGGCATTTGGTTATCCTGTTAATTGCTTGTGTGAAAGTGTAAAGAAGAGAGGATAAATGGTGGGAGAAGGGGCTGTCAGCAACTTCAGTTGTGTTCATGGGTGTGGCATGGCCCAAGAGAGCCCAGAACCTTATTCTTTGACTGCCAGGTAATTTTAAACGCTTGGTGAGATAGGGAAGGAATACTGTGGTCAGCCAAGCACACTCTGGGGCATGGCGGCTAATCAGCTTCCCCATATTGAAGGATTTGTCTCATCTTTGGTAGTCTGCAGATTCTTGTTTTGATCTTCGCATGAACTATTGGAAGGGGGCAGTTTCAGTATTCAGTCTGTTTTCAGTGTTGTGAAGCCCACCTGACCAGTTTGCCTGTTGCTTTTATAACACATGGCCCTTGGCTGTTCCTAAATTAGAATCTTGGGATTTTCCTGTACCTTATGTTCTTGTTTCCTTCTTGAAAGTAACTGAATCCTGGGTATTACACAGGATTTGCCCTAGTGGATCAAGCAACTGATCCATAAAGTGTGTTGTCTTGCCTCTGGCAGTGGCTGATACCCTCCTGTCCTTGTCAGGCAAGCAGTGAGAATTCACAGTTTTAGCACCGAGAGATGCAGAGGTGTTGTAACCAGGTATGCCAGTTTATGCTTCAGCTTTGATGCAAACCACAGATTTCCTACGGTCTTAAGTACTCAGCAGAAAAAATCTAGAAATATATGTTAGATGATTTCACATGCTCCTAAGTTAAGCCCAATTGACTGTCTGGTAAGTTCAGATTACTCTACTGTGTTCTTCATCTCTTGGGCAGGAGGCTAGATTTCTAAAGTGCCTGTTGGGTTTACCACAGACATGCATTCTTTTTAAATGATCTAACACATAGTCCCTTGGCTTATGCCCAATTCTGAGGGTCTACTTACAGAGAGATTTGATTTTAATGCTGGGAAAGAAAGCCCTGAGCTTTCTGCAGTCACTCCAGATGTAGCCTTCCTAGAGAGAGCGGGGAGTTCAGTTTGGCCTCCTGAGAGTGTTACACTAGATGTCCTCAGAAAAATGACGGAGTCTACTGCCACATTTTAAAAGATGAAGGGCAGCAATGGGAACATCCACCTCTGGGACTGTCTTTGAACAAATAGCTCTTGTGTTCTTCCTGCTTGTCTGCTCGGCTCTCTCTAGAAAAGGGTGAGTTGTGTCATTATTTCCTTGAGGATGCATGGAGTGTTGAGGAGACGTTGAACTGCCCTGAAAGGTTTGGGGACTGGGGAGGGGGCCACGGTAATTTACTACTGGAAGTAAAGACTCAGGAAGGTAGTTTGAACTCAAACAGAATACTTCTCCACTGCAGAAAATCTTTTTCTTAATATATATATTCACAGTCTTTTTTCCATTCCCCTTCCACTCTGTACAGGTTATTAACTGCTGACAAGAAATTCACATCTCATAAATAATGCTTAAGAGCCATTGCTATATAAATTGAATGTGTTATGAATTGTGATGGGCCTTTTTGTAGCATTTGATGCCTAGAGCAGGAAGAACAGAGGATGTCATTTTCATTAATTTCTAATGAGGTGCCAATTAAAGACAGGGAAGACGCTCCAAAGGGAAGAGTGGCCAAGCTCCCCTGAATCCTCCGCCCCGGGGCTGTCATCCAAACACTGCCAGCAAGCCTTCTCTAAAAATTCCATTAAATTACAGTCTCATCGAGAGCACACATAGACACATTGAGCTTCCCTTTGATCTTCAAAAGAGCAATTTGTAAGGCGAGTTCTGAGCCTTCTCACATAGGGAACAGCTAGAGGTGATAGGAATTGTTAATTGCCAAGATACTCCATGGGCTTTCAATAAGGAGGTGAATTTTGAAGATGAATTCTCCTCTGCCTTGCTGTGACTAGATAACCTTTAAATCAACAATACCAAAGTAACACCCTTTTCCTGTGAAATCTTTCAGGGTGCCAATTAGAAAAGGCGTGTGGTGAGGCTGAGATGATAGCCTGCATGCATCCCAGAGTATCTGCAACAGTTTTAACTTCTCAAGAAAGAAAACAATTGCATAAAAATGGATTTATTTGTTTCATTTTCTACTCAGTAGGCAAATTGATCAGCTCATTCTCATTACAGGAGTCTTATCTCTCCAAATGCCACCTAGAGGATGTTCTGAAATCTGGCCCTCTTCATCAGATCTGGGCCACATCACAACCATGTGAATGCTGTGTTCTCTAAGCGGATCTCCCATCATGCACACAGCATGTCTTTGTAATCGCTGTGCCTTGCTTCCCAGAACCACAGAATTAATTTTTAAATACCACTCTAAGAGCTTGCATAAGTAATCACCTGTTTTCAGTCGACTATGACTTAAACTATAATCTGATATGCTCCCTTTTCAACAGTGCTTTTACTAACAATCTGAGTAATCTGGTTTCCTTTTGTGCTTTCAAAATAAATTTTATATCCACTTTAGAAACTCAAAGAGTAGTGCTTTAGCCCTTTAGAGTAGTTTATCATCTGCAGGTGCTTCAGTGGTCATTTTCTGCATTCTCATTCTCTATCAAACTGAATTCCTCAAGCATTTATTGAGATGTGACTATGCATGAAGCATTTTGCTAGGTTTTATGGGGACTGTAGGATCTAGAAATACAGAATGTAGGAACTCATAGTCTAGGTCAGTGGTTTCAAATTGGAGTGGGCATGAGAATCGCATGGAAGGTGTGGCAAAACACAGATTTCTGCCCACCCGCCTCCCAGTAGGCCCGTGCATGTTTAACAAGTTCCTGAGTGGTGTTGATGCTGCTGGTGTGAGGAACCATGCTTTGAGAACCACTGCTCTAGGCAGTTCTTAATCCTGGGACGCTTTTAAAAAAAGAATGCTGGGGCCTCACTCTTTTTTTTTTTAAACCAAGAGTATTTATTTTTATTTATTTATTGTGTTTTGTTTTTTGTTTTGTTTGTCACCATAAAGTATATCATTAGTTTTTGTTGTAGTGTTCCATGATTCATTGTTGGTGTATAACACCCAGTGCTCTATGTAATACGTGCCCTCCTTAATACCCGTCACTTGGCTAACCCATCCCCCCACCCCCCTCCCCTCTAAAACCCTCAGTTTGTTTCCTGGAGTCCAGAGTTTCATGGTTCGTCTCCCCCTCTGATTTTGCCCCTTTCATTTTTCCCTTCCTTCTCCTAATGTCCTCCATGTATTCCTTATGTTCCACAAATAAGTGAAACCATATGATATTTGACTTTCTCTGCTTGACTTATTTCACTTAGCATAATCTTCTCCAGTCCCATCCATGTTGGTGCAAAAGTTGGGTATTCATCCTTTCTGATGGCTGAGTAATATTCCATTGTATATATGGGCCACATCTTCTTTATCCATTCGTCTGTTGAAGGGCATCTCGGTTCTTTCCACAGTTTGGCTATTGTGGACATTGCTGCTATGAACATTGGGGTGCATATGGCCCTTCTTTTCACTACATCTGTATCTTTGGGATAAATACCCAGTAGTGCAATTGCTGGGTCATAGGGTAGCTCTATTTTAAAACTTTTTGAGGAATCTCCACAC